AAAAACCCAAGGACAAAAATAGAATTTGATTCACTTTGTATCACTGCAAGAAATCTTTTGCAATTGAGGAATGTCACAAAAATATTGCCAATCATATTGGTCCACAGAAATTTAGTATGAAAGTAAAACTGGTTTCCAGTACAGCATGGATCAGGCTGCCTATCCAGGAAGCAGCTACCAATTGGATACAGGCATCCCATTCATGATTAAGGTATATTGCAGTGGGGCAGATTGCTACAAACGGTCATAAGCCATAACAGTGAGCAAGGCAAGCTCCCACCAACAAATGTGACCACTAAGAAGACCTGTGTGACACATCCGGCAAAAGAAATCATGTTGTTGTTTGTCAATGAAATGGTGATGGATTTGGGTACAGTAGTGGAAATGGAGCAAACATCAAGCAATGACAGGTTGATCAAAAAGAAGTACATCGGGCTGTGAAGGTGGTGGTCTAGGGCCACAGCTGTGATGATGAGAGAATTTCCTACTAAGGCTGTTAAGTAAATGAAGAGAAATATTGCAGAATGCAAAATCTGCATATCACGGGTTTCAGAAAACCCCATGAGATGGAACTCTGTTGGAGTAGATTGGTTAGCCATTTCTCTCATTTCCGTCATTCTGCAGATAGAAGTTAAATAGTTGTGCGTTAGTGGAGCTTACCAATTTTTGGACATTCTAATTTTTTAAATTATCATCTTAGATATTGTGCTAGTTCACAACAACACATTTATCCACATCAAGAACCATGTATGCACACTATTAACTGCTGATGTGTTCTTTCATTCTGATATGACATGAAGCCTCATGGGGATAGTATGTGCACTCACATATCTTCAGCTAATATGATTTATCCACCCTCAAAGACTGGGGGAAAGGCAACAGAGACTGGGTACATACATATACTTTCTAAGCCATGTGCCACATGATGTAAATGGTGCAGTTTTTACAGAAGTCTTCCATTTTGCCATCAAATGTACATAAACCATTTTAATGAAACATGTAACATTTTTTGGGGGGGGAGAGATCACACTGAATTAACTAGATGGGGTAAAGGAACCACCATTCTAGAAAGTTTATCTGAAATTTCATATAAAACAAGAAATCACTGTGGAAATTTTGAAAGATTGTATTATGTGTATTCTCAGTGAGGCTTTTCTATTTCTTGCTAAATACTTTAGTAATGTAAAACATGGAAATGGAAGCTTTCTTCAAGTATATTGGAATAAAAAATTGTCAGTTCTCAAATATTTGGAGGTTTTCCATCAAAAATATATGACAACAAACTATCATCCAAGTGTATGTGTTTTGAAAGGTGCTCTCCATTTTTTTCAATTGAACAACAGCATAGCAATTCACATATTACCTAAGAGCAGTGAAGAATCAACCTGAATGAATTAAGTTTCAGGAATGAAGACTGATTGCTAGAATACTGAAACAGTAAAGATTTCAACAACCTGCAAGGAGAATTGAAAAAAATCCAAAACATTATTTTATTTATTTCTAGTAACATGGCCCATGGAAACACTCAAAAAATGGCTATACTTCTCAATGTGCAGGCAGAATCATATTAATTTCTATCCTATTCAAAAAAGACAAGACAAATTCCATTTGGATAAGTAATTTCTATTCTAGTGATCGTATTACCATATATTATAATTAATTTCATTTAAATTTTTTGGAAAAGATAACCCAGAAGCATCCATCTCTCAATTAATTTCTGTCATATGCAGTAAGTAATTTGTTTACCCAGCCAATCTAATGAGCTGACAAGATAAAGACTGTGCCCTGAATCATAAAAAGCTTCCCATTGTCAGAAATGCCATAGTTACTGAAGAATTCCGGAGTATCTGCTTACCACCATTGTTGCTGTGAACAAGAGAGAGTTATGGTAGCACTTGAACTTACTCCATTATCATATTTCTTGTCAGTTGTCAAATGTCAGTTGTCCATATTCCAGTGTGAAATATATCTCTGCACAGTTTTTCCAAGTTTTCTGTTGCCTTCTCCTATATATAAAAGAAATGATACTTTTAAAAAAAAATAAGAAGTCCACTTTACACCAACTACTACATCAGTCATTTCGCAATCTTTTCAGAATTGAAAGCTCGAGCATCCTTGAGTCCCTTCATTCTCTTTAAAGAGATCAATAAGGATTATACTCACCACTGTTTCTCTCAGATTAGAGTGCCAATGTGCTTGACGGTGATATTTATTTGAAGGTACATGGCTTGTCAGGAGGAGGTGGAGAAGGTGATGTCATCCTCCTTTCCTGTGCTATTTCTGGTTCTCTCTTTGGAGAACATACCAGTCCCATGGTGCTGTGCAAAACAAATGTTG